ATATATATATATATAATTCCTGATTTTTCTTTGAAAGCAGGTTGACAAAAAGTATCACACTTTTAAGTCATTGTTAAATATCATGTTCTATTCATTCCTCTTGGCTTAGCATAAAGACTGTAATTGAACATTGCAACACTGTAATAACATTAGCTAATTGAAGGCTACAGCATAATACATTTTTGTTTACACAAAAGTTGGCATCAATCAAGTGCCCTGTTATTTCTACAAACACTAAAGTTAATACACCACCAGCTGAGACTTCAGGAAGCTGCTGTTACCTGACACACAATCAGTCATAAAGACAGCAAGTTATGTTTATAAATTTAATACATGATACTAATTCACAAACCTTAGAGATGTAAATAAGAACATTTAAGTCTCTTGAATCAAGAAAACATTGACATTTTCCAAAATGTCACACTTTGTTTGATTAGTTTCATAATGCAGTTGTAGAACTCAATTTATTTAGTAGCAAAATTGAGTACCGTATTTATTCAAGTATAATATGGAAAATTAAATCCATAAAATCGTTCATAAAGTTGGGGGGTAGTACTATACTCAGATAAATATTTTTACTTATGTATTTTAACTGAAATATCGGCTTCATTCACAAAATGTCTGAGACCGGAAATGAGACCACGTTGTAAAAAGCAGTTGAATCAAGCTTACCTGTGACACTCCTTCATGCTTCAGAGCGAGATAATAACAGATCCAGGCAGGCGACATGATGTGAAAAAAAGGGGGGAAAGTAGTCCTGCACCTTAGTAATGATAGCGAACTAATGACATTAGTGTGTGACCGGGCCGCTGCTGGAACAACAACAAACACGTTTGTCTGTAATGGCTGCCGTCTACCGGTGTTCTGAAAAAGTTTGRATCCCTGAAAAAAACATTTCCCCACCAGAGGGGGCGCTCGCGAGTAGGAAGTAATCTGCTTTTCCCCCACAAGATGGTCCAAATCTCATGTGAAGTCTCTGACTTTTGTGTTGGCGCACCCTGGTGGACTATGTGTAAAATGCCAGAATTCAAATGATGCTGCTACAGCTGATACAGTATATATTTGTTGTCAAAATACCTTTTAGTACATATGTTGTTAAAATGAAATGAGCCAATGATAATTCTGCTGATATGTATAAAGATTGACCTGATGGATAGCCCCTCGTCAGAGCTAAACAACCAAAGAAAATCTGAAGCTCCTATGCTTAATAGTTTTTGAGCAATAACCATTTTTGCATGTCCAGAAACCCCATTTTTGAAAGGAGCCCCCTCCTCAAATATGGGGTCTTTCGTAAAACCGTTGGCTGTTGCAGTGTAGGTCAGACTCATCTACAGTCTTGCCAAATTTCATGTTGATCGGTGCAGCTGTTTTTGTGCTACGGTTGACCAAAAATCTCTTAACAAAAAATAAATAAAAGAAAATAAACAGTACGAAAACAACATGACTCCTGCTTACGCTTCGCGTGCGGGGGTCATGATGAGGAATGTGCTTTTCATTTCCTTTATATTAACAACAACAAAAAAAGCCTGTTTAATAGCTTTTGTAGTTCAGGTTTCCTTAATATAGCTATGTAGGTTTGAGTGATAGGTTTCATTCACTTTATTCTGCAAATGAACAGTTCCACATTAACCTCTCAGAAGCTACTGGTGACGGACGCACAATTAGATTGGCACAAGCTCTTAGTCTTTTATTCTTGTTACTGTCACGCATACCCCCATCCAAGCCTCGCCCCCCAATCTCTCCCAACTCCCATTAACCCTCATGTCATATCTTATGACAATCCATGTACGCCATGTCCTTCCATTGATCTTGCACTGATTGTCTCACTCACTCTTTCTCCATAGCTGGTCCTCCAGGCTCGTAATGTGCCCGATCTGTCAGCGGGGGTTAACTGCTCCTTCGAGGACTATGTGGAAACAGAGGGACGAATCCAAGGTGGACACATCTTTTGCTTGTCTCCTTCTGCCAGAGACATTGCTCCGATCACCAGAAACAAAGGTCAGGACCTAAACGTTGATGAGAAATGAAGTTATAGAGTAGTTGTGTTATGTAGTGAGGCCTTTGAGGCAAGGAAGATGCTGTAGTTACAGTGGCATTTGAGAAATATGGAAAAGAAACTCGTGTTTTGATTTGTTTTTTAATTTGCCTATTTTTGTTTACTTTTTTGACTTAGTTTTGTCCTTTTATAACTTTATGTTGGATTCTGTCCTTCCTTTGGCCTATCATCATCATCTGCTGTACACTAACACCCACAGACTGATGTCTCCTCCTGGGGGACTTGATTGCTGCGTGAAAAGTCAAGAGCCATGCATTCACCCGAACAGAATTTTAATGTTACAGCTAATTTGATTTGTGTTTCTATATTCAGAGTTCCTTGTCAGCACAAATAAAAGCTTCTCATTTCCCCTCAAAGGCCCACACATCATTGCAGATTCATCTTCTGAAAACAGGAACTGTGTTTGAATTCCCATTATCATGTGCTGTGCCCTATTGTCACTTTTGTTTTGGTTTATTGCATCTAGAATGTTTGTTCTTCTTAAAGCTGTAACTTTAAAGTGGTTTACAATATATATTTTTGTGTACAATTTATTTTAGAGTCTGCTTTTGTTTCATGCCCACTTTCATCACATAAAGTAGAAAATTTAGAAAAAAAAAAAACATGGTATCTACATTCAAAGCACTGTAAACATGTCAGCATGCTCCAAGTTTCTTCAAAAAGACAAATCAAAGGTTCGTTAGCATAGCCCATTATTCCCAATTATGATTTCTCATCAGCTCTGGCATCTAAACACTGATTTATGCTGCTATTTTTAAAGCCACCCTACTGTGGGTGTGACATGAGTAGTGTGTTGCTAAGTTACTGTGTGTGTGTGTGGGTGTGTGTGTGTGTGTGTGTGTGTGTGTGTGTGTGTGTGTGTGTGTGTGTGTGTGTGATCAGTTAAGATCAAATGGTTTGAAAAGGAAAAGAGCTCCACAGCATCAATAATAAAGTTGTTTAAAAATACACAGAACACCAACATAAAGTCACTGTTATTCACTGGTCTAATTATCTCACTGTTTGCTGATCAAAGTTCCTTTTACAGAAATTTAGATATAAGAAGAAAAGTGTTAATGATTCTCTATGACGCAGGGGACAAACGGGTGGTGAAGCTCTACCTCAAGTCCAAGGAGACGGGGAAGAAGTTTGCCAGCGTCAACTTTGTCTTCTACAACTGCAGCGTTCACCAGTCGTAAGTTAGAATAATTTTATACTTTTAGGTCTGTTTGAAAGCTTTTTTTTATCCATTTATTATCTCATTTTGTTTTTCCTTTTCACTCCTGCTCTTCTGAGAAAAACCTTCTTTGTACAATATCCCCAGGAGCTGTCTTGTGTTACGTTCAACAAAACACACCCAAACACACACACATATCTGTTTCACCTTTTCCGACCTCCACAACAGGCTAGTGTTACAGTCGTAGTGAAAAATCAAATGTACTGAACATGTGAACCGTTTTGGTTAGAAGATGGTAACACAACTGTTTTCATCAAAAGCCACAACACACACACTGACTCTTCTTCAATGTATTTAATACAGAGTCTGCTGTAATTCCTCCTAACACACTCTAACCTCATACACATCATTTTCTAAATAAAAAWTATCTTTGGCTTTTTGAACACCTTGACTTGCAGTCTGGCACATTTTCAAATTAAAAAGGCAAGTGTTGTCACACTTAGATATTGTAAAAATGAACGTGCATGTCTTTTTAGCAAGTTAGATCATTTAAACCCTCCCAGTGCCCACTGCTGCTACGGTTAGACTCTGTGTTATGATGGGAGGCACCCTTGAGCCAAATTGCCATATTATTATAGTAATAAAAGGTAAATTTCAAAATATATTTGCATGATCTAATTGTTTTATTTAAAGAGAGAAATGCACAGTTATTACTGCTTCTTAAATTAATTTGCTTATTGCTATTATGATGAATGTAGTTCATTTACATGTATTAATTTTGATACATATTAGTTGACTGAAAGAAACCAAATTATTGTGTTGACTGCCACTCTGTTTAAAATCAGAGTCAAATAATTCAAGGACCCAAGAAATTAAATTTAAATCTGTCAGCAATTATTTTAGTCACAAGCATTAAGAATAAAATTACATTTAATGTCAGTTAACTGGTTGTTTTTAAAAAAGCGATTGGTATCAAGATTAATATATAAAATAACACTTGAATTTATAGTAAATGTGTGATTTGTTCAGTACAAATGAAGTTTATTTTTTTGTGGAGGGAACCTCAACTTAATTGGCTGGATACCAAACCCCACAGTAGGGTGTTTATTCGTTTCCAAAATCTATCTTTAAAAATTGGTGTGTTTTGCTTCTCTGATACACAAGAAGCCATGACAAACTGTGCCTTTTTGCTTCTGAAAAGTTTCCAACCAACCAACAATCCCATTTTTCTGGCCATCACACACAGCTGACAGCTTACAGCAACAACTTGGGGTAAATATAAGAACTACTCTGCATTACATTTGACCAGAGAAAACAGCACACTATTTCAACCATCTAATTTTAAATTTAAAATTTAAAGGAGTTTAAATCACATGATGGGTATTGTAGAAGCATGTAGCATGAAAACCTTGAAACTGGAAGCGGTCTTTCGTTATTGTACACCACTATAAAACCACACCTATGGCTTGGTTCCAACAAGTAATTGATGCACCTTAGTGGGGTAAAAATATCCTTCAATTCCATGACCCCATTCCACAAAAAAAAACCCTCCTCCCCTGCCAATCTATGGCTGATTCAGGGTGGGCAGAGACGTCTGTTGGGGTATTAGCCTTGGGGCAGCAGATGGCTCAGAGGCCCCTGGGGTACACCGGGGCTTCGTTCTGGCCTCCCTCTGGATGCAGGATGAGCCTCCTTCGAGGATTTTCCACAAACGCACGCATTGACACACACACACACACACACACATACACACAAATGCACAGCCACGCCTTTCCCCACTGTGTCACTTAGTGCTCACTGAAGCTCTGAATGTCTTAGACACCTAATCTGTTACTGTGACCTTTAACCCAATCACCCCACTTCCCTGCTCTTCTACACAAATCCCTTGCCACAACAAAGATGATTAGCTCAGCTGGTTAAGTGTGTGGTGGTTTACAATGTCAAATCACTATTAAATTATCTCCCATGAGGACCTTATGACGTTTGCTCTACCTCTAGAGTAGGTCTCAAGTCCAATGTTAACCCTGTAAAGGCAATTTTTTTTTTGCTGTAAAAAAAAGTCTTGCATATTTTCTGAAAGTAGTGTAAGTCAGGATCTCCCATTAAAATTAAGTGCATGATATAAGTGACAGCAGTAGAGTCACCCAGTTGAAGATATTACRCCAATGAACAATGATGAGATCCACTCCTCCTGCTGATCTAATACATCCTCCAAGTGATGTAATGGACAAGTTTAATGAAGTTACACACAGTGCACGTTGCATTTTCTCCATTGACTGATGGCAAAGCAAGATACTGAGATAAGAACCTTATTTGGAGCTGGTACTCTGTCCGGCGTACGCACTGTAGCTCCCAGGCCTCAGTGTGAGGCGTCTGATGAGATCAGACTGGTAATGTCGTTGGCATAATAGCTGCGCTGCCACATGAGAGGCTTTGCTTTTCCTTTTTCTTTTTTTAGAAAGCTAGGACATTTTTGACGGAGGAAATAATTTAGACTGAAACAATTTTAGGCTTTTACCCTGTAAATAAATAAAACCCATTTTCAYTTGTGTACTGCACTCCGTACTGTATGACCATATTCCTCACTTGTATATTTTTGAAAAATAAAAATAGAGCCYCAATTGTTTTGTCGGTATTTATTCCACATCCTTGCACCCAGTCCCAGTCCTCTAAAACACATGCCTCTCGTACGTATTTACTTAACTGATTACGTTGTGGCCCTTGCCTTTAAAAAATGCCATAAATTTGCATAGTTATATTAATCTAATTAGAATTCCCAYGGTTTCAGTTTAAGGGGTGCCGAGATTGAAATAGAAAATCACCCACAGCCATGATTGCTCTTTAATTAAATATTTTCATATATGTTTTTTTAATTCCCCCTGTTCAATAAAAATAGAGCATCTGGAAATCATTTTGGATTTAAGTGAATACATGAGGTCATATGAAGGACTTTATTTATTTATTTATTTATTTATTTATTTATTTATTTATTTATTTATTTATTGCTAATGTTATTTTGGCTTGATCAGTAATTGGGTCTTTTTTATGATTTGTGCTTGTTATTATAGTTATATAGCTATTATATAGTTACTGGTGGAAATGTGTACTGAATCTTAAAAGGACAATTTTTTTCAGAACATTATTGGAGAAGCAGAAGAGTATTTTAATGAATGTTACAATGATTGTTCCATACAGACTGACAGCTTTTCTTTTAAAATCTAAACTCAGAAATGWATTAACAGAACTATGCATGAATAATAATTCATATGTTGGTTCTTTTATGCTATTCCTAAAACTTTAAAGGGATCCAGTAATGATATGATAGACAATTTCTTAGGAGCGTTAAATTATTCAGCTCCCCTCGTTTGAAATGAAAAGTAGCCAATAAATAACTAATTTTGCCAAGTGCAAAAAAAGTCAAACACACCTCACAAGGAGAACAGATTGTATTCAGCACTCCAAAACTGACCAAGCAGAGAGGGAGGTGGAAATCAGAGTCTATTGTGTTTGGTCTTGAAGAAACACTGCTGCTCCAAAGGTAGCGTGTGTTGATTAGCATCTGAATATGAACGGATTAAATTAACATTAGAAGTGTAGGCATACAGCTGCTCAAAGCCACTGAGTGGCTGCAGGCACAGCAAAGGATAGAAAGGAGCAATAAGGCGATGGTAGGGGGTCTAAGTAATAGAGCCCGCCCTTGATCAAACTCACTGAAATGGCACTGGGTGGARTTTTTCTGACGAGGGCGCACCTAGAGTATAATAGAGACTTTGAGATCCAGTAGTAGCTCGTGACAGGGGGCTTTGGTTACTTGAAGGAATCGAATAATAATCAGCAGGGGATTGGTGCCACTAGCCTAGGGTGGCACGCATAATGGCACCTGCTTTTATTTTAAAATCCTCAGTCATAAAAGTGTGTGTGTGTGTGTGTGTGTGTGGGGGGGGGTGTAGGCAGAGGTTACCTGCTGGTATTTTGCTCATTATTTCAAAGTTCCCTTACACTAACAAGCTTGATTTGACATGAACAAAAAAAAATACAAAAAATGTAAGTCAGATTAAAATAAATGTTATTATTCAAGCTTAGCGACAAATGTGATGACTGATGTGAGCTGCTAACGATACATTGTGCCGTTCTCTGTTTGATCCAGGCTGCCTGCTGTGTTAAGTTGGTGTTGGAGTGTATTTTGATGAACACTAATCCACTGGTGGACCCTACACAAAAAAAGCAAAACTCTTTGACATTCAAAATTGTGGATGTTACCATGCGAACAACTGCTAACAAGCACCATAATGAGGCTAACTTAGGCTCTGTTCATTTGTTTTGCATCTCTAATGTCAGCTGCTCTTTTGTTCTGTATTGACGGCCCTTTCTCATCAGGTCCTTTGGGGCAGGACATTGAACTAAAATCCCAGTTCTGCTCTTTGAGTCTGAGCACTGTATGCTAACCTAGCGTAGCCTAATCGCTTTCTTTCCATTTGTTGGCAACATTGACAAATCCCCGCTTTGCTCTTGTGTGGTATTAAGAGGCCTGTTATTTCCTTAGCTGCACATCTTTTATTCTAAATGGACAGCTTCTGTCAGCACAATGCTAAATTGGTCAATTAAAGCGGCAGTGGGATTGAATTAAGCTCCAGCCTCTGATCTCGCTCAAAAGGAGGGGGTCTGAGCTGGAAATGATCGCTTAAAGTGTGCACCTAACAAACGAGCCGCCCTAATTGATCCAAATGAATCCACGTCAGGGTTTGATGGATTCATATATGGGCTCCATCTTAAAGCTCAAGAGTTAAAACCCTCGTTTTTCCATGCAGATAAGGGGAAGGGAAGCTGGAAAATTTCACACAGGGTTAAAACACACTTTAGAGCTGGTCTATTTCTGCTCCGACAATATGCTCACATTTCCACTCATTGAATACACTTGAATACAAATCAACCTTTTGACTTTCTTACATTGACTTTATTAAATGTGCTGTTTTATTGTGCTGATGCAAATCCCCAGCTAAATAAGGCACCAAGATGAAATTCTTAAAATAAACTGTGTGAACAGTTATTTAGTAAGCATTGAAATAAGATAAAATGTTTTTAACTTTTGTAAATTTAATGGTTTTGTTAGATAATCCTGTCTAAATGAGGAACTGTTTCTCTAAAGCTCAAAGTGAGCCAACAAGAAGAAGCCTTTTTGATAAACYGCACACTTAAACCTGTCTGGCTCTCCTACACGGGTTTCTTTAAATATAAATACACACATATAGATTCATAATCACCTCCAGACATTTAGCCTAATGTTTCATCCCCCTCCCAAGAGACAGCCACCTCTCTTCCCCTGTCCTCTCTCTCACGATACCTGGCATCTACTCCTGTCAGGAAAATCCACCTGCTTTTGATCTCTRCCTCCCTCCCTGCCTCTCTCCTTTCTTTCGCCTTTCTCTTTCAGCCCATCTATCGGCACCTTGCCTTTGCCAAAAGCAGGTGATTTTAAAATGGTGGAGGGCTCTTAGCCTCYTGGATGAAAGAGAGCTTTAGTGAAAGAACAGGGACACACAAATGAAAGGGATGGAAATAAAAAGAGGGAGAGATGGAGAAACGTAAAAAAAAGGTTTACAACAGTGAATGGAGAGAAAGTAATGGTGAAGGTAAAGAAAGAGGTAGGCAGATAGTTGGGCAGTGCTTAGGGAGATTAGTGAGCAGAGAAGGAGCAAGCAATTGGGAGTTTAGGTAAGTTGAGAGTGATGATGAATGAGAGATGTAAGGGAAAGAAAGAGGTTAAGACAGTTTAAAGGATGGAAGATGGAGGGGAATGAAAGGTGAGAGGGAGAAAAAATTCAGGTTTGACAGCAAACTGGAAGAAGACATTTGGGAAGGTATTAAAATAAATATTTATAATGTATACACTATTGTTGTATACATTAGTGTTGACACTAAATTTAGCGAAGATCCATTTTTTAATTGGATCTTTAGGCAATTTGCTACCAGCAGCTTATCACAAAAACACAATTTGTTTCTATTTATTAAGCTGAATCTATCAAAAATACCAAATATATCACATAAAATAGTACATTTAATGGCTTTCATACTTCAACATAAGATGATGAACTGAAGGATGCATCAGGTTCTACATCAGGCCTTTGTTCCAATTTTTATTTTAATTCCATTCCCCCAAAAATACTTCCAGATACTGTTCTACTTCTGTAGGTAGTGTTTTTAAGGCTGTGGCCTTTTATCCTTCACRACTTCCCTTTCATTTAATTGTTTTTTCATTGTTCAATCACACATTGTACAATATGCAGTTATGATCAGGTTTAACATCTGGACTAAAACTGAGCATTTAAGAAAAGCAGCCAAAATCCAAATAAAAACTGTGAGCTAGCTTCAGAACAATAAAAAAACTATGAAGAGCACTTTTAGAGCTGACAAAGTCTGGGTCTTTGGATGTAAAATGATGAAATAAGTGATGGTTTAATAGTTTTGCACAGCTCTGAGATGTCCCAAAGCAAACAATATGGCTAACTTTCGACATTGTCTCTTCTCTTCTATGCTTCAGCTGCCTTTCCTGTGTGAATGGCACCTTCCCGTGTCACTGGTGCAAGTACCGCCACATGTGCACTCAAAATGCCAATGACTGCTCTTTCCAGGAAGGTCGCGTCAACAATTCAGAGGTAAGACTTCCTGTGCCACACACTGTGCTGTTTTTGTCAGTATTTCCCTTTGAAATGTATACCACATTTGACCAAATGTATTCTGTCATTAACTAACATGAAAAAATACCACTACCACATGCATACAGTTTAGTTTTCACCATACGCACACACACACATAGCAGCATGTAGAAAAGGATTGTTTCAACTGCACACAATCCCCCTACACCCTCTGTGGCTTTTGCCTCAGGCTCTCCTCACATCATCTTGCTGTGTGTCTGCTGTCGGTATGTGTATTAGTGGCTTTTGGCACAGTGACAACAGCTTGTGTACTGTGCAGCAATAATTCTGTCGTGGCCCATAAGGCCATAAACAGGCTGGGATGAATGACTTTCTATGGAAATACTGCCTTGTTCTTACATAGCCAAATGCTGCATTAGCATAAAAGCTAATATTAATCGTGCCAAGTGGCAGCTGCAGCAGGCGTCACGCAAAGCATAAGCAGCATTTGTCAAATGGTGTAGTATACACARGGCTGGACACAGACATATGTAATGTTTTTACAGTGTTTTTCTCTTTTTTTAAATCACCCACCCTACACAGACCTGTATATTTCATATACATACAAACACACATATTTTACAAGAAATGTGATATCTTCGCAACAGACTTGTGGATGTAACTCACTGCACTCCCAAGTGACTGACAGTTATGCCCATGTTTTATCTGAACAAGACCTTACACATGGACACACACACACACACACACACACACTTATAAAAAACCTTACAATTCTACTCTCTTTCTTTCTCTGTTTATGGTCAGACTCTTCCTGTTATCTGCATGCACATTAGAGCTGCCCTCGCTGGCTGGCCTGAATCACTGGCCTTTATTAAATGGTCAACCCTATAGCTTACTACTCTCCTTTATCTCCTCTCTTGACAAAGCTGTGCAGAATCCTAAACACAAGCGTGCCACAGCCTTAGCAAGCTTGGCTGTCCAAAGCAAGACGTGAGCCCAGCCTTCACGGCTCACAAAACTAAAGTTAATGGATTAGTGCACCCATCTGCAAGGCAAGTGGAGAGCACTGGCCAGCACACTCTGAACGGAGGGAGGCCAGTAGGGCAACACATGGATAAACAGGAAACCCTGAAGGGAATGGATATTTATGTACAAGTTCTGAATGGCAGTAAACATATAAATTGAGTAATATTGTAATATTAATGAATGATATCAGATGATCTTTGAGGCATTGAATCGATAGCTCAGACAATTTGTTAATGGAAAGACTATGAGCAAATAATATTTTACCTGTTGTAGGCAGTTCTCTGAACGGCCTCAGTTAGGAGAAACTGTTTAAATTAGACACAAAAGTGGTTCAAGTTAACACATTTTGTAGACATTTGAACAGAAATATATTTGTTTTGGAAATGTCCCAAGCTACACCAGAGGTGTTACAGCTAGCTGCTGCCTCTACTATTTGTGCTCTCAAAAAACATAGGAATTGATGTAAAGAACCATGCAATGCTGAATGAACTGTTATATGACATTTCCAGGGCTTAAAGTAAAAAAAAATTCCTGAGCCTGAAACTTTTTTGTGGTGGTGATAGAAATGAAATCATTGTCGTTCAGTTCAGGTATCTATCCGGCTGTGGTGAACTGCTCACATGCGAATACATACGTTTAATACTTAGATGCTTAATAGTTTATTACATGATTTCACTTTCATGGGGGTGGGTAGTTCTAGTCGAGGTGTCCTCTTTGGGGAAAATGTCAGAAAAATATTGATTAAATCACCTGCAGTTTCTCTGCTCAGTGTGAATCAAACAGCAGGACCTGCTCTGCTCTGATTGGTGAAAACTGTGACTCTGGTTCTCTTTATTGGTTGAAAGCAGCGTCAGTAAAATCACTGAATCAACACTGGATTGAAGATCACAACCTCTTCACTTTTAAGAAATCTTTTGAGAAGACAGGCTGCCTTGCTCTCAAGCCAGAAGTCCGGTCATAGAATTTCATAGAATATTGTGTGAAATAACCATTCTGACAGTTTAGTGACTGAAGTTATTTAAGATGGCAGTCACTCAGTTTGAGCCTGGCATAAAATAAAAAATAAATAAATAAAATAAAAATTAATGTTAGATCAAATCAAGAACATAAAAGAAGACGTTCTTTGGGGGTCTTTTGTTTTTTGACATTTAATAGACAGAACATTTAACTGCTTTTACCAGAATAAAATCAGTATTACCATTTAGCTATTAATGTTGCAGAAGTTAGGATTATTTCTATGAGTTTACATGAAACTTTCTGTTGAGAACATGTGAGAACACAGTCAGTATGTTAAAAAGAATGAGACGAATGGGAAATGAAGAGATTAGGGGTGTGTTGGAGTGAAGGAAGCAACAGGAAAAGCAGAGGAGGTACTGTCTGGCTGACAGTATGTGGACATGTGGACACAGAGACCTCTCCTGTCACCTTGTCTGCCCCAGACACTACCAACCACATGCTCCACTAGAGAATCCATCATCTGCACTGTCACGCACACAACACACTCCATAAACACACATTTTGTTGTGCGTTGTGTCTTCCATGCACAAAAGTGTAAAGAGTCCTACAGTGTCGTGCACACATCCATGCACAGAGCCATTTATCATCATTCCCTTAGCTGCCATTTCCATTAGTCGCGCTCTCAGTGCCCCAACAAGTCCTGTTGTTCCTGAAGGCCAGGCTTATCCTCCTCCTCCAGGGCAGGGCCCATCTCTCCCCCACATCATCCTTCACCACTTTGATGCTCAGCCACCTCATCTTTTTCTCATCCTTCATCTTCTTTTTCACCTTTCATACCCTGTTTTTGAAATGCATGTCATTAGAGAAAGGACAAAAGGGAACAGGAATGTGCTTTTGTTTCAAAGCACCTCGTCTTTTTTCCCCCTATAGCTGTGGAAATAGAAGTGTATTTGTGTTCACATATGTCTACGCCTTTAATTTAGCCCTCAGTATATATATATATATATATATACNGTTTAGGACAGAACAATGTCTCAGCGGTTCTTCATTTATCTGGAGAAGAACTTTTCTGTAAGTTTTATTGGCACACAATGGGCTGGACGCGACGCGAAGACCGCTTCTCTCTGAGTAGAATCACAAACAGCAGCTGAGAGATACTGCAAACTCCTGAACACMCAGAAGCTGGGAGTTTATCCAACATTTTTTTGTTTGTGGGTGTCATACTTACTGAGATATGATGGTGTGGAAATGGCTTTGGCTGATTTGCTCATAATTTTCATTTGGTGCGATATTGTCATTTTTGCTATTTTTGAGACTTAACATTTTCAAAAGTGATTTTAAACATATGGGTCAATATTTCTGTTTTTGTTAAATATATATGTTTGTCAGTCAGCAAGGTAATTTTCTTGTATTTTAGAGGATTGTATTCACTGTTTTTGCCCCCCCTGAAAACAGCTCTTCAGACTGTCTCTTTTGATGCAGCAGCTCCTAAGCTTTGGAAAGAGCTACTTCTCCAACTCAGACAGGCCTCTTCACTGGCTGTCTTTAAAACCCATCTTAAAATCCACTTGTCTATTATTATTATTTTTGGCTTTTGACACTGTGTAAGGGTTTGTGTTGTCCATTTATTTTAGATTTTATTTTTGTAGAAATTTTTTATTTTGTTTTTATTGTAGATTTTGAAATTTTTAGGCATTTCATTGTTTTATATGCCCTGTTTTTACTTTGTTTTCCATTTCCTGCTTTTACTTGTTTTTTTATTCTCTGCTTTTACTTTTTTCTGTGTTTTTACTGCATTTTTTGATTGAATATGTTTTATGCATGAGCTGTGTTGGAATGTTGATTCTGTACAGCACTTTGGTCTGCTGTGGTGCAAAAAGTGCTTTACAAATAAAGTTGGATTGGATTGGATAAGGGAGATGAACCCCAGTCAGGGCACAATTTATGCAGACCGGGGGTGAGCCTACATAGCAGGTGGGCGAAGACTACAAGTTTTCAGTGCTGCACATGCGCACGAGGGATAAACACACTAGCAATAGCCTTAAAGGGCTGTGTCTACACTCATACAATCTGGGGTTACAGTACATAACCAACGATCCAGTTTAAGAATAATTTAAGTCATGTGACAGCTCTAAGCTTTAACAGTGAAATCAACAGAACAAAACTCAGTTGAACTTGTAATATATTTAAGTGCTTCAATCAATACAGCAAATGCTGAAATAGAACCTGCTTTCATTAGCATGTGTATCACATCGAACCCGAGCTACAGTGTGTACCCCCAAAGCAAGGTCATGAGAAAAAGCAAGCAAAGCACCAGTCTTCATTTATCTAAAGCTCACTACCACTGGGTCAAATTTATGGCAGCAAATGTTATAAATCTCAAACTTAAACAGCAGTCTATGTGTTAATTTTAATTGGTAAACATTTTATCAGAGGGCACCTAGGTACTTTTTAATTTGTTTTTTGACTTCCCGTGAGTTTTTAAATACTACAAATATACTGATATATATACTGATATATATATATATATTTTGCAACTCTCCAGCTTTATCATGAATACAGATAGCTGTGTTTAGCATAGGAGTGAAATCAGCTCTCCTGATAGCAGACATTTCACTCAGACCTTTACCGCTCTCGCCTGCAGATGAACACAGTAGATTGGATTGGATAAGACCCATCCTCAGACAGTGATCAAAGGCCAGATAGTGTTCACCGAGGGTTGCAAGGTGAATGTTCCTCCCTCCTGACTCTTATGGTCTGACTTGTGTAGGATTGTCTAGACAGTGGAGTTAAATGAAAGATGGGAGCAGCTGGTCGAAAGGAGAGAGCCAACAGATAAATAGCAAATGCATTTAGTTTCTACTGTTAATACCAACATGATCTCATTTGCTGCCAAGTTTCATAGCGCAGTAACAGATAAGACATTTTTATTGTAAATAGTCTAAACATAAGGGTAGCTTTCACAGTTAAACCAACCGTTTTTGTTCTGTAACCCCAATTCTATCTTTGTTTCCTCA